AAGTTAAATATCTGGTTTATTAGAAAGGTTAGGGAAGTAAAGATAACTCTTAGGTTAAAGAGAGAGATCTGGCTGAAGGTACCTAAGAGCTGCTTTAGGAATATAAAGTAAGTAAACCTAAGGCTTTCTTTAGTAAAGAGATAGAGTTAGTATACTGGTATAGTACCCAGCCTACCTACAGGTAAAGTATACTGCTAAATAATATAGAGAGCCCGCCTATAAGGCAGCAGCTATTAGTAGCTAATAGATAATAATAAAGCTAATATATTAAATATACTATAGTCTGCTCGGACTTAATAACTTCTCTTTATATAAAATATATACTTATTATTTTTACTTTCTTTAGCTAATCTCTAATATCTAAAACTAGCTATATTAAGACTAGAATCCCTCTAAGTAAAAACTCTTAGAAGCTATAATTACTTACTAGAAAGTAGGTAAGATTCCTATATATAGAATACCTAATCTACTTCCTCAGCCTTAGTATCCCTAAGTTCAGCTATATTAGTAAACCTTAGGTTAGTTAGATTTAGAAATAAATTATAACTATACTTAATAAGTACCCGGTTAATAAGGAGCTTAGTAAGAGAGGTAAGAAACTTAATAGTATAGTTTTAAAAAACCTAGCTGAATATAACTATAGAGCCCTTCTAGAGATAGTTAAAGATAACTTTAAGAAACTAGCTGAAAATAAGTTCTAGTAAGACTTTTATATAGAGGTTTATAGAATTATAAAACAGTTAGAAGAGTTATTTACTATACTTTAATAATTATCTATACTGGAACTAATTACCCGTTAGAAGAGAATATCTACTATACCTCCTAAAAATATAAGATTAGTATCTTATAAGAGCGAGGGGGAGGCCTCTAAGATTCTGATTAAAACTCTAGCTAAGACTCTAGCTAAAAAGGCTAATAAAAAATTATTAACCTTAGTTATAATACCTTTAAAGAATAAAAAGATATAAGTAGTAGCTCCTGATAAGAGCTAAGAAGACCCCTTTTATAATCCCGAAGAAACTAAGGCCTCTGTAGAGAAGGATAGTAATAATAAGGATATTCTGATAGTAGTACAGAAAAAGACCGCTATATTAAAGGTAAAGATAATTAAAATTATATCTGATAAAGAAATAACCTACTTCTCTTCTAATAAGGATAAACAGCCTATAGTAGGAACTAATAAGGAGGGTACTAGTAATATATATCTATTAATAGTAAAAAACTATAGCTACTATACAGGCCAGATTATAATCTATTAAGATAATAATAATATATCCTATTAGAAGGTATATTTTAACTGCTACTAAGTAAAAGATAGTAATAAATTACTTAATATCTTAGCCCTCGACTATATTATAGCTAGCTTTTAAGATATATTAGACCCTGAAAACTCAAATTACCCCCTTATAGAAGAGTTCTATAAAATTAAGGATAAGATTAAAGAAGTCTAGGAGGAGATTACTAAAGCAAAGGAGTTAAAGGTAGCTATAGACTATAAGGATTATATAAGCAAGAGTATATAGATTTACTGTATTAAATAATAAGTTAATACTGCAGTTAAGATATATATTCGGAATAGGGTTAAATATACTACTAATAAGTATAATACTAAGGATCCTAATAACTAACTACTAGCTAAAGTTAATATTTTAGCCCTTTACTATATTAACCCCTATACCTTTAACAGGTAAATTACAGCTAAACTAGTATTTCTGGGTTATATAAACCTTATAATTATTAGTAATATATCTAAAGCTAAGGTAAGAACTACCTATATACAGAAGATATATTTCAGATAGATTAATAAAGATCTTAGATATAAGATAGAGTATTCTAATTATAAAATAGTTAATTAATATAATAATAAGATATTT